AACCATCTTCTTGCCCCTTAATAATTCTAAGTCTAGACCTTTTCAACACCCCAAGAGTCCATCACAAATATTTTCATTTCTTCCACTTTGGTATCCAAGGAGGTTTTCAGTACTCTCTTTCATTTATTCAGCAAATATTCCTTGAAGGATAAACAGTGTGATAAATGTGCTAATTTTCCTTCATGCACATATTTTGAAATGAGGTCCAGTATTAGAACTAAGCCTTTCTAGAAGAGAGCTCCTTAAGAAGAGTTGATTCCATTGCTATTGCCAGATGTATGCTAAACTCTTATTTTTAATCATTTCTTATTCAGTAGTTTGAGTTAATTCCATCATAGGTTATGAGGCAGTTGTGCTTTGGCAACTTTGAATAAGCTCAGGACCCAGTGTAAGGACTGAATCAAGACAAAAATGGAAGGCGTGCGTTAGGAAGCATGTGTACCCTAGGACTTTCCAACTGAGAAATTAGGAGGCTTAGTACTGCTAGCCCTAGAAACAGATAAATAGATTTGAATGTTGACCCTGTCACTTCAGTGCTAATTTGGGCAAGTTAGTTATCGTTCTGTGCCTGCTGTCTTGTGTGTAAGACAGGAATGATGATGGAAGCTAGCGCATTAAGTTGCTGTAAGGATTATGAGAAATAATGCATAGCAAACGTGTAGCACTGTGCCTGCCACCAAGTACTCCACAAATGGCAGTATTTGCCAGTTCCCGACAAGTATGCAAGACTTACCTACAGCTCAAGCAGACCTTCACTGCTGCCACACCCTTCCTCTCTGAGCTTTTCATTTCCATTTAACCTTGATGGTACTAATGACCACTTCTTCCCCTTCTCCTAACTTCACTTTCCCTGCCCTGATGAGCTCAGGAGATGAACATCAGGCCCTCATTTCAGGAAATATCGGGCACTTTCTAAAACGCAATGGTGCAGGAGGAGAGTTGACTGAAAATGGAAAGCAGGGCCCCTCTGGCAATACATGTAAAGAGGACAGGGATCTGACGGGTCAGTTGGAGATGGGGGTTACAGTTACTGCCATCAGTCAAGTGGAAAATTTCCACATCCAGAAGTAAGTATGTAATGCAGGCAGAAAGGTAGTATAAATAGATTTGGGCAAAGGCAAGAGCCTGGGAACAGGTGGGGCAAAAGACAAGACCAAAATGAAGTATCATTTCCTATGTATCTAATTTAGGGCAAGAGCCTAGTCCCAACTGTAGATGAAGCTAACTGGTAATTAGGATGGCTAGAAAGTACCACCACATCTCTGGTAAAGCTTACCAGTCATGGGACAGGGCTGAACTTGCAGCAGCTTCAATGCAAACGTATCATAGTAAGTTTTTCTGGATATTTATTCAATGTGAAGTCAATTTTTAAAGACTTCACCTTTAACTGGGAGGAAAAAGAAACTAACAGTTCTTAGGCATATCATGGCTGTGTTTTTTCTGAATGTATTTCCTGCTAATGCAAGATTAGAGAGGAAGAAATAGCGAAGTAAGAGACAAAAAATTAGAAGGATTCCAGTTCTCTTCTGCTCACAAGGGAATACACACTTTCCAAATTCAGGGAAGAAAGGAGAGGCCCTGCCAGGGTTCTTTGCCAGTTCTCAGTCTGTTTTGGCTCCTGAGTAAACTTTGCTCTCCTTAAGCTGGCAGCCTTCAGTTCCAATCTTTTTCTGAGAAATGTACAGCATAGTTGGGGCTCCATTGGGACTGTTCTGGCCTCAAGGAATGAATCATTAGCTGGAGCCAGTTTGAGATTTGTAGACCCTGGAGGGAAGGGCTTCCTTCCTTGCCTCTAGATCTCCTTTATAGGCAGAGTAGGTGGTCAGTAAAAGTATAATTGAATGACTTACCTCATTGCATGAAAGTTAGATTTCACAGGAGTCTATCAAAGATGTTACAGCAAAAGGTTAGCTGTAGATTTAAAGGTGTTTTAAGTGCATATCAGTGCCGTGCATGGTGGCACACAACTATAATCCCAGTGCTGAAGACATGGAAGCAGGAGGATCACAAATTTAGTTGCAGCCTGGGTTGCAAAGTGAGATCCTGTCTCAAGAAATAAAAAAAAAATGTAGGGGCATACCAATTCAGGAAACAAAGACCTTGTTTGAATTTCTAGTCAAACATTAAATAATGACATAATTGGAAATTCTGAACACCGGTTACAACGTTAGATAACTTTATGTACCCTGTAATGTTTTTTTTTAAAAAACTGTAAATGTCATCATTTTAAAATAAGAGATTCGCCGGGCGTTGGTGGTGCACGCCTTTAATCCCAGCACTCGCGAGGCAGAGGCAGGCGGATCTCTGTGAGTTCGAGGCCAGCCTGGTCTACAAAGTGAGTTCCAGGACAGCCTCCAAAGCCACAGAGAAACCCTGTCTCGAAAAAAAAAAAAAGAGATTCAGGGCTTGGAGAGCACTGTCTGCTCTTCCAGGGGACCCGAGTTCAATTCCCAGAACCCACATGGCAGCTCACCAAGTGTCTAACTCCAGTCCTAAGGACCCAATATCTTTTTTCTGGCCTTTGCAAGCACTGCGCATACATGGTAAAAAGACATACATGCAGGTAAGATCCTTATACACATAAAAATGAACAGATACTTAAATGAGGTTTTTTTTTGCATTAAAATCAAGATTCCAGGCAGGGCAATGGTGGTACACTCCTGACATTCCAACACTTGGGAGGCAGAGGCAGGTGTATCTCTGTGAGTTCCAGGCCAGCCTGGCCTACAAATCAAACAGAACTAGGGCTGTTACACACAGAAACTCTGTCTAAAAAAAGTCAGATTCCCTAAATTAGTTTGAAAACTGGGGAGATTGGAGCACAGTTGAACTCACTCAGCTACCATGGGCTACAATGAAGGCGTGTTTACCTTCCGTCTCAATCTCAAGACTAAAGCCTTCATTTGGTCACCCCCAATCACTGCTAATTTCTCATTCAGTCAGCCTCTTAGAATATATTTTAATTATCCAACTAGTTCTTCACACATTCTCTGCTTTTGGTTCTTTGTAAATGTCTTTCCTGCTTTTCCAGGATGCTGGCTAGCCTAAAGCCTCAAGAGGCTATAAACACTGTAAGATGATCTATTGTTCTGCCCTCCATGCAATTTCCAAATCCAAAGTGGTGACAGGGAAAACTAGGCTGAAGTCAATCTCTAGATTAAGAAAAAGAAAAAGAAAACCTGGACTGGAGAGATGACTTGGTGGTTAAGAGTAAGTACTGGCTGTTCTTCCAGAGGACCCAAGTTCAATTCTTTTTTTTTTTTTTACATTTTATAATATTTGTCTTGTGAATTTTCCCTAATGCTTGTCAGTATGTATCTGACATTGAATCATCACCCCTAAATTCTTTAGCATCTCTTTTTTAAGAAAAGGGGGCTTTTCTATATGATTACAACATTATTTTCACAACCAAGAAATGTGGACTTGTTAGTGTTATTTATTATTCAATTCATAGTCAAAGTTTCCCAATTGTCTCAATTATGAATGCCTTTTTATGTTTAGTGCTGGGGAATGAACATTCATGTGTGTTAGACAAGAAGAACTACCACAGGGCTGTATCTCCAATTCCATGATAAGTACCTTGAAAGCTATTATTGAATCCAGGTCCTCAGCAACGTTCAGACATTGCATTTGGTCTCTTTAGTCTCTTGTGATACAGAATAACTCCCTGGTTTTGCAATCTTTCATTATATCTTATGTCAGCCTAGATTTGTATGAACGATTCTTCATTGCTAGACTTAGGTTTAACCTTTTAAAAATAAGAAACGACAAAAATACTTTCACGTTTTGCCATATTGTCTGTCTATTTGTGCATGCATGTGCTTTACTAATGTCGTTAACATAGATGTGTCATACTAATAATCATGGCTACTATCATGGATCTAGTCCAAAATACTGTACTTGCTGAGAAGTAGGTCTTTGATGCTATAATTGATTTCATTTCCTTCAATACTTATTTTCTATCGTGTGTGTGTGTGTGTGTGTGTGTGTGTGTGTTCAGAGGTACAGCATGTTGTTTTGTGGTAACTGTCATTTGTGTTAAGTGTTGGAGAGTTTGAATAGTTGTTTTAAATGCTTAGTGGCCATTTGTGTTTTCTGTCCTTTGAAGAAGCCTCTTTATGCCTTTTTGTTGTTGTTTTTGTTTTTTGAGACAGGTTTTCTCTCTATAACAGCCCTAACTGTCCTGCAACCCACTTTGTAGACCAGGCTGGCCTTGAACTCACAGAGATCCACCTGCCTCTACCTCTCATGTGCTGGGATTAAAGGTGTGTGCCACCACCGCCCTACTTCACTCTCATGAAACTATCTTATATAAGAATAAAAGCACATGTCTATTCTAGTGAAAAGTTTAGGGTCCAAATTCCAATATTGTCACTTACTGTGTGACATTAGACAAATGATTTTAATTTTCTCTTTAGTTTCCTCGTCTGTATGGTGGGGACAGTAGTGGTACATACTTCATAGGATAGTAGGGGGACTAATAAATTTATGTATTGCTACAAATGATAAATGTCGTGTTACAGAGTATAATATGGGTAGCCACTGTTAGCTTCTTCAGTTTATAGCTCGCATAACATTTGAGGACTCACTGAACTCGTCCTATAGAGGTTCTTGCACCTTACCTGCTACCTCAACCATAGCCTGCCTTCCTACAACCATGTGTCAGGTGGCACATTATCTATTACCTCCTCCCATCCTCTCTCCCCAAAACTGGGCTTTTCACATAGGTAGTAAACTCATAGTACACGAAGATGCTTGGCAAACGATCCAAATGAACTTGGAAATACGGAAATATACCCCTACGTAGAGGTGATAAGAGGAAAAGAGCGTTCAATAGCCAAGTAGGCAGCTGATTGGCTGGTGTTCAGAACGCATCACGATAGAGCCTCGAATATAAGAAACAGTTTCTTCAGACAAAGTTAGTTGCTGTCCAGCTGGTGTAGCGACATGGCATGTGAGAGCTAATGCTGCCTAAATTGAGGGTCTCGGGGCAGAGCTTGGAGTCCCCAAGCCCCGCCCCGCCCCGCCCCGCCCCCCGGGGTCCCAGCCAGGGCCCCAGCGGAGGCAGAGGCGGCGCCTGCGCCCTGCAGCCCAAGAACCATCAGTGGTTCTTAACTCGGCTCCGAAGATGGCCGACCATGCTTTTGCGGGTACCAGTGGCAATACATCTTTGCGGGGTCTACGAGAACGTTTGGGTGAGTGGGCTTGGAATCCTCCAAGGAGATAGCGACCCTCAGGGGCAGTGGGATTACTGTACTCCCAAGGACCAGCAGAATGGCATGGCTGGGCAACTTTTCTGTGGGGAATCCCCCTCGTCCTATCTGGTTTGTGGTCCCCTCATCTTTTTGAACACGCTGGGATGGGACAATAAAAATCGGATGATCTGGACGTGGAGGAGAAATGGTTGGTCTGGTTGTCAATGGCTCAACGGCCATTGCCGGGCGGGTGCCATCGAACCCAGGCTCCAGCCCCGCCTGCCGTCAGGGACCAGCGACATCCGTGAACTGCAAGAAAACGCAGGGATGAGTGGGTGGTGGCGCGTGATCGCATAGCTGCAGTCGGGGTGGTCCCGCCAGGGTCAGGAAGTTTGGGGTTTCCCTGCATCCCAAGATGTTGGTATTTTCCACGTCAAGGTCAAGGGAGGAGGGAACTGGGGCTCAGGGCTTAGAAAGTTGGGAAGAGACTTGATTCTCTGCAAAGTTGTCCTGCAGTAGCACGTGACTTTGTTCCTAGGCTGGACTGAATGAGCATCTGCACCTAGCCATGCTTTCTCTTCAACAGGTCCTATGACCCAAACTTTTTCCGTCGGGGAGGGGGAAAGCTGGCAGGGTGTGTTAATCTTAACAATTTTGGCAGCACCTGCCTAATTCAGGAAATTGTGTGAGGAGGTAGTATTTCTTTCTGGTTGCTTTCAGCTTGCTAACCGTCTAGTTTCCCCAAATATGCCTGTGAATAAAATGATTTTGATTGCTATTAAAATCCTTAGGGAGTTTTAAATTGTAATTAAAAGGTTAATTTAGATTGGCTGAGGTTCAAAGACCACATGTTACTGAAGAACACTTTGAATCAACTCTCCAAAAAGTGTCAGAAGCAAGTACACTTTTACCATTCCATAGGGGCAAAATAAGTAGACTCTAGAGAGTTTGCAATCAATTACTATACTGTTTATTGACATTTATAGCTCCCTGGTATTAGTTTAAAGTAATTGAAATTATCTAGCGTGTATTCCAGTATATTGAAGGTTACCCCCTAACATTATTTCATTATTTGTTTATTGAATGTTGGAAAATCGTTAAAATTATGAGGCAGTCGTTTGCATTTGCAGCAATTCAAACAATAAAACCTTTTAAGCCATGCAAAAAGCGGGGGGTTAATCCTGATCCGTTGTTTACATCCTAGCTGCCTCTTGTACATTAGGTTGAAAACACCACGTTGGATTTGCACAAAGCACCAGTTTAACTGCCCTCCCGCTCCCAGTATTTTCTGTAGGAGTAAAGGAGATACAGTGAAATGTTTATGCTAAAAGGTCAATTTTGTCTCCTGCTGGAATCCTGACTGCATGAGTTAAAAGAGTTTCCTGAACAAATAACCTCTTGTGGATGTACAGTACAACTTACATACATGTATTTTATAAATGTATATATGTATGAACTCACAGCAGATGTACATACATGCGCTTAGTGGGTTTTCTACACATTACAGTATGCTAATGCTATATACTAAAGAACTTTACTCATTTTAACAGAACACATGTCTTACACAACTCTACACAATTGTTTTAAAGTAAAACTGTTCAGCCAGCCGAACATGAAAACCTTTGGAACTAACTTGCCACTTTTCACTTTTTGTTTGTTTATATTCACACATGGTTTCTCAGCTGAGTACGGCATACTTAGACTGAGTCCTAGAAATACAGGCAAAACTACTGAGGCTGAGAGCAGATTATCAGCCTTTTGGAGCTGGAGAAACCTTCAAGTTAGCCTAGCATCCAGAATCCCAAACTAAAAAATCCTAGGCAGCTTCTACTGCTTGAATGTATGCTGTATTGGATAACCTGGTATTTGTATTAATATTTAGGATTGTACAGTCTGCTTGAAAATGTGCTCTTAAATGCCAGTAGTTGAATTATGAGTAAGGCAGAGAAGAATCTAATCTTTAAGTTTAACTAGGTCATAGTTTATCTGAACTGTTAGGTCCCTGGGCCTTACAACCAAGTCCTTTTTCTTTTCCGAACTGATGATCCCTATGGCAGCAGTGGCAAGGTCACTTACAAGGTTACCCTTTCAAATGAATCCCAGATAGCTTTTCTCCAATGCAGCCAACATCACAGAACCCATTCACTCTGTGAGTACTAGAGCAATCCCTCTAGCATCTTAGTTATTTTAGTTGTCTCTTAATAGTTAATAACCAGACCTGTGAGGTATGACCTGAATCATATTTGCTGGGCTTTTTCCACTTAACCGGGAAGTGGTTGTGTACGCCTTGAATGCCATAACTTGGGAGACAGAGGCAAGTGAATCTCTGTGAGTTCAAGGCCAGCCTGATCTACAAAGCAAATTCTAGGATAGCCAGAGCTATTACACAGAGAAACCCTGCCTTGAAAAGTCTAAAATAAACAAACAAACAAATAAATAAATAAAAATAAACCACCCAGTTTTCAGTCTTTTTCAGACCCTTTACCAGGATTGTGTGGAATTTTAGATGCAGCTGTCCGTGTAATTAAAGGTTCAGGAATCCTCTAGAATCCATCTTAATGTACACTAAGTTTTTCTCTTTTCCTCAATTGATACACTTTTCTGCATGTTGACAGAAAGCATATATACTTGGTACAATTTTTATGTATTTGCCTTACATGTTTTCATGACTGTCCCTGTGTCTTCATAATGCATTTGAATAGACCTTAGGGGTGCTGAGGGCATGGGGGTGTGGCTCCATGGGGGAAGGGTACATTGCTTAGCATATTAGAGGCCCTGAGTTCAATCCCAATTACCACAGAGAAAAGAAAGAAAGAAGGAAGAAAAAAGAAAAGAAAGAGAAAGAAAGAAAATGAGCTACTTTTTAAACAGTTCCAAGTGCTTGAGTCTCACTCCCATAGGAGAGGTTCAGGCTTGATATACACTTAGAAAGTACCTGATGTGATTTCTAAATGTCTTATAAAAATTGACTCAATCTCTGAGTATCTGTTAGTACATCACTTCTAGATTTGGGTCTATAAATTCTTAATTTTTAAAACATTTTGATTTTATGCATGTGCATGTTTTGCCTCATGTATGTAAATACACCATTAGTATGCAGTGCCTATGAAGGCCAGAAGAGGGCATCAGGGTCCCTGGAACTGTGCATTTTAGACAGATGTCTGATGCCAAGGGCTGAAAACTGAACCGAGTCCTCTGCAAGAGCAGCAAATGCTCATAACCAGAGTCACCTCTCCAACCAAATTCTTAATTTCTTATTTTGACAAAAATTTTCCCTTTCAATTTCTTGCAAACTCTTAAAAAGGGTGTAGTATTTTGTCTGATGCTTTTTAAAAAGCTGTTAATCCCTGACTTGTTACTTACCTACAAGCTCTTGTACCTCCACTGCCATCCACATCTGGAATTGTCTTTGTGTCCACAAATACCGTACGCTTTCAACTCTTTACTGAAGTGTTGTTGAACATCATAAGTACTTAACCCATCTTTAGTTGACCAAGATTAAACAGTAATGTTTTTACTTCATAGAAATGAACTGTTCCTTTACCATCGATGACAAATGATTGTGGGTTGCTGTCCTCATATTAACCATTAATATCTAAGGCCTTTTCCTTAACTCCCTGTGTTTTAGTTGCTGTGGCTCAAGAACTAGCCGAAGAACGGCGACGTAAACGTGGTATTAATCCTTCTGCAGTTACTACTAAGAGAGCGCCATGTACACCTGGTATATTTTCAATGATGTGTTGATATATCAGTGCTGTAGCCTTAAAATCTGATGCCATAAGCTGGGCGGTGGTGGCGCATGCCTTTAATCCCAACACTGGGGAGGCAGAGGCAGCAGGTCTTCGTGAGTTCTAGGACAGCCTGGTCTATGGAGTGAGTTCTAGGACAGCCAGGGCTACACAGAGAATTCCTGTCTTAGAAAATCTAAATAAATAGAGAAATTCTATACTAATAGGTAATGTTTTTGTAGTTTTAGATTGCTCTGTCCTTAAAAATGACATCAAGCAGCAATTAGCCAAAGAACGAAGAGAAGAGAAGAAACGCCAGCAGGAGGGTATGCATGTTAAACATTTCCCTTTATGTATAAGTTATATATTTCTGACTTCGTTTTAATCACTTTGCTTAATCTGTTTATATGATAAATTGTAAATGGTGGTTTTTTTTCGAGACAGGGTTTCTCTGTGTAGCTTTGGAGCCTACCCTGGCACTCGCTCTGCAGAACAGGCTGGCCTTGAACTCACAGAGATCCACCGGCCTCTACCTCCCTAGTGATGGGATTAAAGGCATGCACCACCACCGCCTGGCAGATAAATTGTAATTTTTATAATGTAAAACATATTAAATTAAGTTCATTTACTGAACCATACCAAGAAGGTCCATGAAGAAACTGTGACCAAATTATTTAATTTTTGAAGAATTAGCTTCAGTTATCTGATAATTGAGACCTGGAATTGTCTTCAACACTTGTGGAAACAAGCAGATGAGATTTCAGTGAAAATGGGACTTGGTATGAATTAAGACTTTTTAAAACTTTGGAGCATGTTTTCAACTGTATGTATTTCTTCTTTGATCTAAATCAACTGACAAAGCAAATGCTTAAATTTATGCAGGTGGAATGCTCTAAGTGATCTTCATTGTAGCGGCAGAGAGCAGTAATGTTAGGGAGAATAGTTTATAATTGTGCAGATATGGGTCCTCCAGTTGCAATCAGAGAAAACTTGAACATAGTGAAGCATGCCCTTCCATAGTGGGTAGACGTCTAAGTGTCTTCATGGGACACCTGCTTGTTTAACAGCGTCTAGAGACATGAGGACTTTGAAGGAAGTTTGAGAATAGAATGAAGCAAAACACAGACCCCAGCCATTTGTGCTTTCATTTATATTTTAAAACACAGCATGTTTTTCTGATAGTTTGATTTTGGCTCAAACTAGCAAAAATATGGCATGAAAGAAAACATTTTTTCCTACTTTGGAATTTTAGTTTGAATAGGCCAGGAGTCATCTGGTTTAGAAATGCCAGTTCTTCACAGTTCAGTGGCCACCTTGTGAAAAGTGGTTCTTTAGTGGCCAGGAATGTTTACATACTTGAACTGTACATGTTATTTACTGAACCAGGTTATGTTATCTTGAGAATGATAATGAGATAGATTAACATGCTTTTCCTTCTTTGTGTTTACTGTGGAAAACTTGTCTTGGCTTTAACACTATGAAAATGCACTTGGAATATTTCAGCCAACAAGGAAAAACAACTGCTCGAGAAACAACAAAAGGCTAAGCTGCAGTACGAAAAGCAATTGGAAGAGAGACACCGCAGACTGAAGGAACAAAAGGAAAAGGACGAGCGACGCCGAGTATCTGCCGAAGAAAAAAGAAAACAGAAACAGGCAGAAGACAAAGTATGAACTTCAGAGTTCGTTCATTTAGTGTTGGAATTGTGTGTATCTAAAATATTGTTTAGCCCCTTTGTGTAGAAAGGAAGGGAACAGCCTCATGTTTTCCTGTTTTTTTCTGTTTTCCTTGCCCTCAGTCCAAGTGCTTAAACACTAATTTCAGGGAGGAAAGAGGAGGCGTGAAGGTCCAGAAACTGAACTCTATTGGCCTTTAGAATGCAATTCACAATGTACCTTGCTTTGGGGTTAGCTCAAAATTGTTCTCTACAACCTGCTCATGCAGGTCTTTATAGACCCCAAACCTACCACCCCACTTCTGTGACAGGTCCCGTCTGGAAGGCTAATTCCCTGATAGAAAATGAACTATTAAAGATGTTTTGAGAATCAATAAACAAAATGGGAAACAATACAGAGCGAGGGAGGGTCCCTGGTGGCCAGAGACAGTCCAAGACAGTGCCATGTTAGGAAAAGAGGAAGCTGAGAGGAAACACAGAGTGTAACAAAAGCAAATGTCAGTGCAGACAGAAAGGGAATCAGAGACATGGCAGGAGAAAAGAAGGCAAAAGGGAGCCACCTCTGAAGAGCTGGTGGAGGTGAGGCCCAGTCCCAGCCTGGTACATGGACATTGTAAGTAGCTAACACATTTCTCTTTGGCCTAAGATGCTATTGTTGTGTAACAGTTCTGCTAGGAAATGACAGAAAACCTCTGACCCTGAAGTTGCTCTGTTTGCTGCAGAGAAAAGAAATACAGTGATGGGATTAGTTTTAGAAACAATATTTTAAAATTGGGGTAATATAATAACCATATAAAATGGTCTGGCAATTTCTTTTAAATAGGAAAAATTTAAGGCTGCTCTGTCTCGTACAATGGAACGATGCAACCGCGTTGATCATCGCCAGAAGAGGTGGTCGTGGGAGGGCAGCATGATCAACAATGACAAATCTGGTAAGTAATACAGTTGTTAATGGGGGGTGGGGTTTTGAGACAGGCTTTCTCTGTGTATTCCTGGCTGTCCCATAGACCAGACTATCCTCAGACTCACATCTGCCTGCCTCTGTCTTCTGAGTGCTAGGATTTAAGGCATGCACCACCACCACCCAGTGATAATTGTTAAATTTAAATTCATTAATGTCCATTTTTAACTGTCAGTTATTGGTAGACGGCTGTATCTGCAACACAATCTCATCTTTATGTTCTAAATGGAAACATTATACAGAGTAAATTTCTATCACCTACCAAAGCGGAACAGATGAGATTTTATAATAGATTATAATATAGAATAATATCAGAATATACTAAACTTTATTTAAATTTACAATCGGCACAAAAATGGCAAATACTTACAAAGTCAGCTTAGCCAGTGCTTGTTTTTTCATTGTTGTTAGGCTGTAGAATTAGGTCAGTCAGGATAGCACTTGCCTTGTAAGCTCTAAACCCCTAATTTGCTTCCCAGAACACACTTAAAATTACAATCCAGTTGTGGCAGTATACATTCATAATTCCAGCAGTGACAAGGCAGAGGCTGATTCATAATAGCTATTGACAATACTCTATATTTCTTGAAGTATGTCAATGAAAATGTAGATGCCTTAGTCACATGACTGGTAAACTTACAATTCTGGGGCTGAGTTCATCAGATTATCAATTAAAGGAATTTCCACGTGGCACAATAGTGTTAATGTGTTCTTGATTTTACAAGTCTTTTGTTTTTTGGTTTTTTGAGACAGGGTTTCTCTGTGTAACAGCCCTGGCTGTCCTGAAACTCATTCTGTTGACCAGGCTGGCCTTGAACTCACGGAGATTCTCTTGCCTCTGCCTCCCAAGTGCTGGGATTAAAGGAGTGTGCCACCAATACCCAGCTTTGATTTTACAAGTCTTAAAGAGAAGGATTTCTTATTTAATTAATGGGTACCCCTTAGTATCCTGAGCTAGAATATTTCAGATAAAATATTTATACAAAGCCAATTGTTTTCTCTTATAGTTGTATTACCTTGTGACATGTATATCAGTTATAAATGGGTTTTGGTTTTAAAATAGTTATTAAATTATCCATTATTCTTAGACACCATTATGGATTGTATCTAAAATTAAATATTACTGCCTCTGCCTCCCAAGTGCTGGGATTAAAGTTGTGTGCCACCACTCCTGGCTAATGATTTTCATCATTTTCTAAGTAACTATTTTCACCTCAAATAAGATAATGAGTACATTTTTCGGTTTAGGGTTGTAAACTATACATAATATCTGAAATTTAAAAATTCTTAAAGTAAGAGTTGAAAAGAATCTTATAAAGTGTTTAATAAAGTGAGTGAGTCACTCCTGAAATCTTTAACAGTTTGTAGGATAGTAATATTCCTTTGTACTTGATGTTTAGGAAAAACAGAAAGTAAACGAAGTTCCTCTCTGAATAGAAAAGATAACCAATTATATCCCAGTGTTGATCGGGAACACATGAACACCACGCCTGGTGAGTAGTTATTTCTAAGTATAGATCTTAAGTGCTGGTTTAAAGAAAAGTGTTCAGCTCAGTTTCATGTTGCTTCAAAAGTTGTTTAAGAAAACACACATACAAGTATCATATGAACTGAGCAGATTACATTTAGGAACATTGTATATGTATATGGGCATGTTCCAACAATTAATGAAAAGAGAGGTCATGAATCTGAGAAAGCAAGGAGGGGAGGGGTATATGGAAAGGTTTGCAGGGAGGAAAGAGGAGGAGGAAATGATGAAATTATCTTATAGTCTCAAAATAAAAGAAGCTTTTCAAAAGTCATTAAACTACAAGCCAAACTATCCCTTCTTGAACTAAAGAATGAACTACATGACAGAGTCTAGAGTAAAGCAGAAGAAATAAATTAATGTTAGTATAAATAGATTTGTACTGAAGGACGACTTTTTCTATTCATTTTATTTTTTTATTTTTTATTTTTGGTTTTTACAAGACAGGGTTTCTCTGTATTGTTTTGGAGGCTGTCGGTCCAGCCCAGCCTCGAACTCACAGAGATCCGCCTGCCTCTGCCTCCCGAGTGCTGGGATTAAAGGCGTGCGCCACCACCGCCCGGTTCCATTCATTTTAAACATCATGAATTTTCATTTGGAAATTATAAAGATTGGCCCTAGCTAAAGCAAAGCTTTACTCTGTTGCCCTTTTTTTCTTACTACTGATTTCACATAAAATCCAAAATCATAATTATTATTGAAATATTTGTCTAAAGTAATTTTTTATGTTTACATTTATTATTTGATCGATTGATTGCATACATGTATATATACATGTGCACACAAACCACAATGTGTGTATGAAGCTCAGAGGACAATTTGTGGGAATCAACTTTACCATATGGGTTCCAGGGACTGAACTCAAGTCCCTAGGCTTAGTGGCAAGTGTCTTTACCCACTGAGCCATCTCAAAGTCCCCCGCCCAACTCCCCACTGCCTCTTATAGATCCCACACTGTAGTCCTGGCCTAGTCCAGGATAACCTTAGCTTTAGGACAATCCTACTGTCTCAGCCTCCTGAGAACAGACATTTTACAGGCCTCTGCTATTATGCCTAGTTTTAAAATGCTTTTTTTTATTTTTTCTTTTTGTTTGTTTTTGTTTTGTTTTTGAGACAGGGTTTCTCTGTATTGCCTAGGCTGTCCTGCAACTCACTCTGTAGACCAGGTCGGCCTCAAACTCAGATCCACCTGCCTCTGCCTCCCAGGTGCAACATCACCACCCAGCTTTAAAGTGATTTCTTTCTGACAGCCCTTTCTCCCCCTACCCTTTCATGTTCCTCCTGCCTGCTTTCACACCGGCTTAGTTTGCTTCTTTGTTGCTATGATAAAACACTACCAAAAGCATCTTAGGGAAGAAAGGGCCCATCATAGAAGGTAGCCAAGGCAGGAACACAGACAGGAGCTTGAAGCAGAAACCACAAAGGAATACTGTTTACTGGCTCATCTCCCCCCACCCCCTCCACCCCCCCGGCTTGCTCAAATACACTTCTTCTGAAGATCAGACCCTATATCAATCGGCAATCAAGAAAGTGACCCTCAGACATGCACATAAGCCAACCTGATCAGGGCAATTATTCAACTGAAGGCCCACCTTCCCAGGTGTCTCCAGCTTGCGTCAGTTGTGAATAAAAACTAAGCAGTGTACATAATGATCCATTCTATTCCGGAAGACCTGCCTTAATTGATTCAGGTGAAATCCTTTGGGAAAAAACCCAATTTGCGCTAGGGATATTTATAAATAAAAGATTTATTGGAGCAAAATATTGACCAAAAAAATCACTTTTAACAAGAGAGTTTGGTTCAATCTCAGGTAGCATTTGGCAGACAATTTTTGTCAGTGGACATGGCCATTGTCTGCCAGAGGTCTTTATCTGCAGAAATTGCTGCAAAAGTGAATTGTTATGAGCCATCTTTTTCTCCATGTGTGAGCTCCATAGAGACACATGGAGGGAAATATTCCTGATATATCCTGCATTGCTTCCTTGGTGTTACTGTGCTATGTGGTGGCCTTTATCTTTAGACATCTTTATATATCTATAAAAGTTTAGTTCAGTCACAAGACAGATATTACTAGTGATCACTCTTCCATTTATTTGTATGTGAAACTTCAAAATGAATGTTTTCGCCTGCTCTCATGTCTGGTTTTAATATATTTTTTAGATTGAATGAAAAAATGTTCTTTGCTGATTCTGTTCTAAAACAATCAAGTATGTAGTGTTTTATATAATCACTGATAATGGTAACTGAAATCGACAGTAAAGAACACTTGCTGCCCTTGCAGAGGACCCAGGTTAGGTTTCCAGTACCCACGTGTCTGCAAATCCAGTTTTAGAGGATCCTACTTCCTCTTCTGGCCTCTGAGGGCACCAGCCATGTAGGCAAACACTCATTAACATACAATAAAAATAAATCTTTTAAAAATGTGGTTGAGATTTTGAAATACAATGTGATTCAAATAGAAATGTATCCACTTTCCAGGGTCAGCTTATTTTCATTTGTAGAACCCACTATGATTACAGGAGCTCTATTCTTGATGTTACTGCTATAATACTAAATTCAAGATAGTTCTATGTCAAGGATACTGAACAGTGAAGTGTATTGTGTGAAATTCCTATAATTTCCTATTACACTGCACTTCTCTATTCTCATACTGTGTACACAGAGTCTTTTTATCTAGTCAAATTGCTACCTTTATATGGAATTTTTCTCTGTCCTCATTCACTTACAGGCATGACCAAATATATTTTCCGCTATGTGACTGTACCAGTATTTACAAGTGATGAGCCAAAGTCTTCCGCAATGTTCAGTAAATCATCAGTAAAAATGCCAGTTCCAACAAAATTACAAATAACACCAACAAAGAAAGTAGAAACACCCATCCAGGAAAATGTGGAAAGACCAGCAACGATGAATGTAGAAACAGCACCCCAGATGAACATGGAAGCACTGTCTCTGGCAAACGTGAATGAACCATCTCATGTGGAAACAACTAGTCTGGAAATAGCACTCCAGAACATGAAGGACATCTCTGAAAATAGGGTGGACGTTTCCCCCAAGGTGAATATTGACATACTCAATAATGCAAACTCAACAAGGCACACTGAGTCAAGTGTTGAAGAATTCCCCACATTGAGTATGGATGCCTCTTTAAGCATTGAACCATCGCCCGTTGTGAGCAAGGATTCATCCCCTGTTCTGAGCACGGAATCATCCTCCTTTACAAGTGTGGAAATATCTCCTATTGTTAGCATGGATACCTCACCTGAGGAGGGCATAGATACCTCAACAGAATTAAGTATGGACTCAGCAAGTGCTGTGGCCTCAGAAGGAAATATAGATATATCTAAGAGCATGGATGACTTAAAACTTGAGGCAAGTGCGGAACCTCAGCCTGAGACTCATGTTGAAGTATCACCCAAGGTGAGTGTGCAAGCTCAGCCTAGGCAAGGTGTGTGTGTGCAAAATCAGCCTGTGTGATTGTGTAAGCACAGCCTGTGTAAGGTGAGTGTGTAAGCACAGAATGTGTAAGGTGAGTGGATGCTCAGTCTAGACAACGTGAGTGTAAGCTCAGCCTGTGTGAGTGTGTAAGCACGGCCTGTGTGAGTGTGTGAGCACGGCTTATGTAAGGTGAGTGTGTGATCATGGCCTGTGTAAGGTGAGTGTGTAAGCATGGCCTGTGTGAGGGTGTAAGCATGGCCTGTGTAAGGTGAGTGTGTAATCATGGCCTGTGTAAGGTGAGTGGAAGCACAGTCTAGACAAATTTTGAAGCATCACCTAAGTTGAGTGTGTAAGCACTCTTTGAGGTGATGGTGGAAGTTTCACCTCAGGCAAGTGAAGAAAGGGCACACATGACATGAAAACACCTCCCAAGGCTAAAGGGAGAGACTCCAGAGATTTGGTAAACAATTAATGTGAAGTACTTTGAGGTTTGAGAGGAATGTTCTGAACCATTCAGTGAGGTTTATAAATGGAATTAGATTTTCAAGTAGAAGATTTTAAAAATGTATTTCTCTGATATACTTGCATTGTGTAACTTATTAGCCTAGAATAAAGTATCCAATATTCATGAATTAAAGGAAAATTGGAGGTTTCAGGGACTATAATTATCTTATTTAGACTATTTTCTTATGAAAAGGTAGGTATAGTATAGTAGTTGCTAGTAATTCTTTATTATTGAATTAGTATGTTCAGAGCCCAGAAGTGGACAAAAGAAACGAAAATCTTATCACCAAGAAACAACTACCATCCCAGATACCATGTTACAAATGGCCATCATCTCCCACAATTGGGTGGCGCCCACCTTCTCCCATGAAGGCTATGTAAGTAACCTATTTGCAGTTACTTCTGATAGACATTTTACTGGAACAAATGCCCTATCAGTGTTTCCTAAATGAAATAATATAGCATGCAAGGTAAACAATTGCAAATGGGGAGAGTGAAGTAGCTTTACTTTCTCCATTATGAAACTTTCCAGTTTATAATTACCTTATAGTATCAATGCATTGCATTGCATTGCTTATAATTATACATTGAAAAGTTATCAGCACATGTTTGTTACTTTTTCTCAGCAGGCAGAGTCAAAAGATCCGACCTCCATCCCCTCTACCAGTCTCATCAAGACTATCAGCGAAGACTTCTCTATCATATAAAATAACCCCAGTGCAGAATATCCTATATGTGCCAAATGCATTAGGTGTGATCGCAAAGAAAAAAGAAATCATCCAAAAGCATACGATCAGCACAGGTAAATTCTTTCCGAAAATCGTGAAGTACTTAAGAATCATAATTTTATCCCCTAATTAATGGGACTTCGCGGAGTTATCCTTCTTTTAGATAGAGAATTAACCAAGCACTGGTCCACTGGAATGCTTCTTCTCTGTTTGCTTATCCACCCCTCTGTTTGGAAATTTTATTTTTGGAACCATTGTTAGAAGCCTAAGATGGATGAGAGGGCTAGACTATGAACCGTGTAGGCCCCTCCAGCTCAGATATTGACTTGTTCTTGTAGAGTTTATCCAGCTACATGTGGTTGAATAAGTTTTTATCAGCTATAGGCCACTTTCCATGCAAATACATGATATGTAGCATGTCCTGATTTGTGCTGTATTCATGTACACACTGTTACTTTGCCTGTAATGTGCATTTTTATATGTCAATGCTACTTGGTCTCAAATGAACTGGGAATTTTGTTTTTATAAGAAATCTCAGTGAATTTCCCATATCAAATGATCTTTTTGTTACAAATTAGTCGTTCTTGGTGTCTAGAAATTTCATTTCTACATAGTTTATTGAAAACAACAAAATTAGCTGTATAAACTTAATATTACAATATGCCTCCATGTGGAACCAGGTATGATGGTACATGTCTTTAATCCCAGCACTCTGGAGGCAGAAGCAGATGAGTTTATGGCCAGCCTGGTCTACATAGTGAGTTACAGGACAGAAAATAGTGAGAGAGAGAGAGAGAGAGTGTGTGTGTGTATGTGTTTGTGTGTGTTATATATGGAGAGAGAGAGAGGAGAGAGGAGAGATAGAAAGATCCATGTAAAATATACCTTAGTTTAATAACAATCATGGCTTCTTTTTTTTTTTTTTTTTGCTCTTCTTTGAAGGAGCTATCTTAGTTGGTTTTTTTTTTATTTTATTTTCCAGTTTAAAATTAGATAAGAAACAAGGTTGCTTCACAAGTCAGTTCCAGGTCGCTCTCCCTTTCCCTCCCCTCCTCCCGTGCTCTCCCCCCAGCCCCCGCCCCCGTTATCCCCTCATTCCCCCAGGGAGGGTGAGGCCCTCCATGGGGGTGTCCATAGTCTGTCATTTCATATAGGGCAGGGCCTAGACCCTTCCCCAAGAGTTCAGGGTGAGAGTGCACCTCACATTGTTCTATGGGAGTCCAAAGTCCGTGTGTATACTTGGGATGGGTACTGATCTGCTGCCCAAGGCTCAATAGATTCCCTAGGCCTCCTCACTGACACCCAGATTCAGGGGGTCTTGATCAGTCCCATGCTGGATTCCCAGGCTGATGCCTGGGATTCAAGAGTTAACCTTTGTCTGGTCAGCTGTTTCTGGGGGTTAAACCAGCCCAGTCTTAATCCCTTTGATCATCAGTCCTCCCTCTCTGTTACTGGCTTTCTTGAGTTCAGCTCAGTACTTAACTGAGGGAGTCTGCCTCTTCTTCGATCAGCCACTAAATGAAGTTTCTGTTTCCCAGACTCTCTGGCCATAGGATTGTAGGCTGGCACTCCCCAGATCTATGTCTTAAAATCCATATATGAGAGTATACATGCCATGTTTCTCTTTTTGTGACTGGGTTACCTCACTCAGGATGGTTTCTTCTAGTGTCATCCATTTGCCTGCGAATCTCATGATTCCATTGTTTTTTTCTGCTGAATAGTACTCCATTGTATAAATGTACCACATTTTCTCTATCCACTCTTCGGTTGAGGGACATCTAGGTTGCTTCCAGGTTCTGGCTATTACAAATAAAGCTGCTATGAACATAGTGGAACAGACATCTTTGTTGTATGAATGGGCATCTTTTGGATATATGCCTAAGAGTGGAGTTGCTGGGTCTTGTGGTAGGTTTATTCCCATTTTTCTGAGGAATCTCCATACTGATTTCCAAAGTGGCTGAACATATTTTAATCTTTCCTATTAGTCCTTGATTTACCTGTCTCTAAATAGTTAAGTCAAATAGAAGTACATCACTACATTTTGAATATCTGAATATGCACTCGTTTGAAAGAGACAACGTGCTAATTCTTTTATTAGGGAGGAGTTGTCATTTTGAACAATTCCCCTAAGTAGCATGTCATTAATTTTGGTTTGTGCTCATTTTTTAATGTTTTGGGGTGGCTCATTTATTTTTTGTGGGATTAAGAGAAAATAGTCTCCCTAATGAATTGTTTTACATGCTTCTTTAAACTAGAATCTGGCAATAAAAGCATGCCAAGCAGTGAAGCGACCATGAAAGTTTCAGTAGAGACACACCATGATGCTTACGAACAAAAAGGCAAACAAGAGAAAGAAGGAATCCAGAAAGAGATGAAACAAAGGTGAGCAAAGAATAATCCTTTGCATCTCTAAACCTTTGCGGGCGTCCAAACTTTGAAATTTTGCCCTCAAATTCTAAGTTTCAAAACAGTAATTAACTTTTTCTCTGGTGAGAAGCCAATCATTGCTTTCTAGTCAAGTACAGAAAGAAAGGAAGAAAAGTCCTTTATTTAATTCCAGCACTCATAAGGCAGAGGCAGATGGACCTCTAAGTTTGAGGCCAGCCTGATCTACAGAGTGAGTTCCAGGACAGCTAGGGCTACACAGAGAAACCTTGTCTCAACCCCCGCCTCTCCCCCCTCCAAAAAAAAGAGAAAAAAATAGAAAGGTATTATAACTGGCTGAGCAGAGTGGTAACATCTCTACATATCCTTTTCAGTATCCATACATCCAGAGCCATTAAAGTATGCTAGGACATTGTAGAAAAAACACCAAGGTCATAACCAAGATTCCATCTCAGCAGCAGCACCTACACAACCGCATGATATTTCTATTTGCCTTCACTGAAAAGACAGAGGGACAGGGTTTAGGAGCGGGCAGACAGACACAGATACTGAGGTTCATTTCTATGTCACCAGGGTCTAATTTAGTCTGAATTAGTCCTAGAAGGTGTACCTGACAACAAATTTCAGGTCCAGCTATGTTGACTTGAACTTGAAACATTCTTACTTTTTCATCATGAAACCTATTATGTGTTGTATCTTATAATGTAAACCCCTGTCCACTGCAGGCAAGGAATACTATAGTACTGCCTATAGCACTCAGGAGGCAGAGAAAGGCAGATTTATATGAGTCTGAGGCTAGCCTGGTCTACAGAGTGAGTTCCAGGACAGGCTCCTAAACTACAGAGAAACCCTGTCTGAAAAAATAAAAAAGGGGGAGGGATTAAAATATAACTCTTGGATAGTAAGAACCACAGAAAATATAGTAAATCTTCCATAAATGTAATTGTATTAATATACCCAAGCAATTGCACCATAAATGCTCCCATATTCCTGTAAACCATGTATGCTAGCTGCTAAGAAAAATATTAAAGGTATTTAAATATCCTCGATGTTGCTAGGAAATCAGAGTGTATGGCAGAGAGAATGGATGAAGTCCCAGAAGAAGAACTCTCAGCACACAAAGATGAGCAGCAAGATCTGACAAAGAGACATTTGGAACCACCAGAGAACCAGAGACAACAGCTACAGGTTCGTAGCCTTGCACTTCTGCTGTGCAAGAGAATCTGCTTAGAAAGCGCACTGGCAACGCAAAGTAGCCATCTGGGCCACTGAACAGACACAGAATTCTCTGGCTGCACTTCAACATTACAGTTTCCAGAGCCCACATTGCCATAACCCAGTTGATACTCCCAGACTTAGTATATCATTCATCAGAACTGGTTACATGTAATCTCCTTAAATGATTGTGTATACTTGTATTCCTTGGCAGAGAACCTTTACAAAATTTACCATTGATCTTTTTCTGTTTTGTTTTGTTTTTACGAGACAGGGTTTCTCTGTATTGTTTTGGAGGCTGTCGGACCAGCCGGGCCTCGAACTCTGAGAGATCCGCCTGCCTTTGCCTCCCTAGTGCTGGGATTAAATGCATGCGCCACCACCGCCCGGCTAAAATATTGATCTTAAGGTATGTAAGAAAGTTGACTCCTTGCTGTGTTAATAACTCAAAAACACATGCTTTTAAAGTAGTGGCTCTCAACCTGTGGGTTACGACCCATTTGGGAGTCGAAGGACCCTTTCACAGAGATTGCCTGAGACCATCAGAAAACACAGATGTTTACATTATGATTCATAACAGTTGCAAAATTACAGTTATGAAGTAGCAACGAGAATAATTTTGTGGTTGGGGGTCACCACAACATGAGGAACTGTATTAAAGGGTCACAGCATTAGGAAGGGTGAGAACCACTGTGTAGACCATCAACATGAGGAACTATATTAAAGGGTCACAGCATTAGGAAGGGTGAGACCACTGATTTTAAGCTAAAATTTCTTGTCATTCTGATATTTTGAAATTAATGATATTTTTTGCACAAATTTCTTAGAAATGGGACAATGCCACGATGAAATCTGAGGATAGTGCGGAAAACAGAAAGAAAGATCAGGAAAGAATTATGCAACAAAATTTGCAAGAAAGATTAGAAAGGAAAAAGGTAATTCTCTGTTTCATGTGCTTTGTGCTATTGTTGGGTGCAAGTTATCAACATATTTCTCTGAAAATCCTCAATCAGGTATGCGTTAGTCCCCAGCTGTCTGCCCGCTGTGGTTGCTTATCTAAAGTGCTGATTTCTATTACAGCACTATCCTCTTTTCGGTAGTATTTTGTACTTCATGGTTGACATTATACCCATTTCTCAGTATCTGGAACCTGTAGGGTCAGTGTTCCTTTTAGCAGGGTGAGTCCAAGATAACGAAGGTTAGTGGAAGTTAGAGTTTCTTCTAAACTGAGCTGGAGTCGGCACTACATATGTTGGGAAGAAGTGGAGGCCTCTTGGAAAGGCCAGTGTTTGGATTGTTTGCAAGGTAGGATCTCATTTTATGCAACTCCATGTGCTTCATCTAGGAATCCCTGCCTGGCCAGGTCTCTGTCACTCTGAGGCAGCCAGCAGCCACAGTTCTCCTCACCTTATCCAATGGAGAGAATTCTCACCCCTCCCTGGAGTGTACCCTTCCTCAGCCTTCTGTTAGTTTAGGAACAAGATCTCGTATGTGTTTAGTCTAACTGATAAAAATAGTCTAACCCTGAAAACTGGAACAAGGAATTGCCATTTGCGTGTTTGTGTTGTGATAGGACAGAACTTTATAACTGAAACCAGGGACAGAAGAGACACCCAGCTGCTACCCTGAGACTTTGGTTAAGTCTGGGGTTTGGGGACAGTCACAGGCATTGCCTGCTGTAAAATGGAGTAATCAACTGCTTCAGGGCCACTATTTTTTAAGTCTCTTTTACATTTTCATTTGTATTTCTCTTTGACTAGAGGGTTGAGGAAATAATGAAGCGGACAAGGAAGACAGATGTGAATACCTCGAAGGTAGTCTCCACTCCTACCAGAGTGCATGTGACCTCCTCTTCCTTCTGCCTCTTGGCATCTCTTCATTTTTACCAGAATGGTGGTAATGAAGTATGGTGTCACATCTGTGCTTTCCTGGTCCTTAAAAGCCCAGAGCGTGTTTCTCTAACTCTAGTTTGCCTTCATGTTCTCCTGTGTGAAATGCTTGCTTAGGTCTTCTTGCCTAAAACATTGGGGTTGACTTGTCTTTTTCCTAATTTTTTAGATAGTTCCTTGAATGTTGTAGATCCTGCTTTTGTTGTTGTTGTTATATTTGTAGCTCTCTCCTCTCCCAATCCATGCTTATTATTATTGTCATTTTCTGCTGGAAGAAGGATCCTGATGTTAATATTGAATTTATCAACATCTTCTGATAACCTTCTGAACACTTGGACTTTCCTCATCTGCCTATCTGCCTGTTTTGTCACCTACCTTTTCTTGCTGATTTAAAGGAGTGTTTACCTACTCTAAGTAGCAGTCCTTTGGATGTATGCGTTCCCATCTTTTAATATCTTTGGTGAACCAGAGTTCTTCAGTTCAGCAAAGGAATTCAGACCTTACCCCTGGAGTGACTGCTGTTTGCATCTGTTTTCTATTTGCTTCTCCTGGCATGTCTTCTGAATACATCACATGCATGTAAGACTTGTTTTTCTCTACATTCTGAGCCATTTACATTCAGTTAGAAACTGCTCTTGTTATGGGTCATAGCTATCCCCAGCCACCATCAAGGAGCAGGGCAACGTCTGATAGAAATTTCATTTCTGTAAAGTCATTTGAGTCACCGCTTCAAAGCTCGTTCAGCTCATTGGCCTAAGGCCTTTTACATCAGCAGCTGCTCCACATTCCCTAGCTCTTTGCTGACTTTCCCCACGCTGGCATCACTAGCATTCTGAGCAGGGGATGAATGTGATTTGAGGGCTGTAGGCTCTGCACTCTTGTTCAAGGAAACACTTCATTCTCAAGTGTCCCTCTAGCTGAATGACAGAATTAAGGCCACCTGCACGTCATGAAGTCAGTTAAAGAGATTGTGTTTTTTCTACCCTTTATTCACAAATTAGCCATCAGTCTAGTCTTTTCTTACTTCCTTGAATTCTAACACAGGACGATTAAATACATATAACTATGACTTTCTCTCCTAACCATAGGCTTCAGAAATAGCTGATAAATCTGAAGAGGACGAAGCTGATGATGAAGGTGAAACAGAAAGTGATGAGGACTCCCTTGAGACACTTCCATCAGGTTTGCTTACTCCTCATGGTTAGACACATGTTAGACACAAACAGTGCTACTACCAAAATGATTATTGGAGTTAAGCAGTCTTGTGAAGATGTACACAGAACACAGTGACTAGAGCCCCTGGGTGTGCTTTTGAGTCAGAGGAGGGCAGTAAGGACGTTTGAAGTAAAACCAGGCTCAAAGGAAAAAACAAGCACAAGGGCAGGAAGCAAGGAATAACCCTGACCTTTGACCCATCAGCCTATATTAGCAAAGAAGGTCCTTAAAGATGTATTCCCCATCACCACCGGTGAATTAAGAGTCAGGCAAATTAATGTACATGCTGGACAGTCGCTCAGCTGGCCTGTCACGTTGAGGCTGCTTAGATTTGACGGGACCCCAGAGGATTGCCTGCCTGGCCTTTCTTGCCTTAGGCAGGGACACCCCACTCCACCCCACCCCACTCCACCCCCACACTCACATCCTATCACACCAGGATGGGAGGTTTTGATTTCTCTTGTCTTTGTTATCGAAGTTCCAGCTTTAATTATCTTCTCCCCCCCCCCTTTCCAGGAATGAAAACGTCATCTACCAAACTCAAAAAGTTTCACAAAAACTCCAAGAGAAGGTCTCAAAAGCTAGTGTTTCTGCAAGCGGGATCTGATGAGGTTGATGCAGAGAAGAAAATATATTTTAATGGGAACATGAAAGTTGTCAAACCAAACGACCCAAAGGCCTCTACATCTCAAGCAAAAGGTTCCAAGTGAGTCCACTTAGTACCTATTTATCCAAATAAATGTGGGAGAAGTATGAATGACATTCTTAAAATCCTCAGCAATACATATTACTGCTCCAGAAATTAGTTTGCATATGCCAATCATTACTTCAAGCACCCTACTTAATGGAAACAAAATAGTGCCCACAGAAGTCTTGCTGGGTCAGGATCATCCCCTCATCTTTTTTGTTTGTTTTGTTGGTGGTGTTGTTTTCACAACAGGATTTTTCTGTGTAGCTTTGAAGCCTATCCTGGCACTCAGTCTGTACACCAGATTGGCCTCAAACTCACAGAGATCCACCTGCCTCTGCCTCCTGAGTGCTGGGATTAAAGGCATGCACCACCAACACCCAGCTTCCCCTCATCTTTTTTTGTTTTGTTTTGGTTTAGTCTGGTTTTTTTTTTGAGACAGTGTTTCTCTGTGTAGCCCTGGCTATCCTGGAACTCACTCTGTAGACCAGGCTGGTCTCCAACTCACAAAGATCTGTCTTCCTCAGCCTCCCAAGTATTGGGATTAAAGGTATGCACCACCAGCAACCCCATTTTCTATAGACTAACAAACTGGGGTACACAGAGGAATTAGGCTTTATTTGCCAATTCAACCAAGATACATCTGACACCAAATTGCTTGGGTTTACATGGTGACTGAATGTGGTTTCATTTCTTGAGTGAATATTCAATATTCAAAAAGTGAAGATACTACCTCTTTTCATTTTCACTGTTACTCATAGACTGATAGTCATATTCTCATTTCACATATGAGTAAACAGTCTCAGAGGTTAAGTCTGGAGAGTATAATTATTTGTTGAAAAGGAACACTGCGCAGATGATAGCCTAAAGAATTCTAAAGCTCTGAGGTCCACTGGAGTAGTTGTCTACTAAGAGACTAGGCTCTGGTTCAGGCTGAAAGGAGGAACCACACTCAACTCTTGCACCAGTTCTCTAGTTTCTCCTTACCATCTGTGTCCTTAACTGACTTTAAGAAAGGCAACAGGGATTTGGAGTGATGGCTCAGTGAGGAAGAGCACTTGTTGTGCAAGCATGAGGATCAGAGTTCAAATCCCAGCATCACACAAGAAAAGCCAGGTATGGCCACATGCCCATCTGTAACCCCAGTGATGATGGGATTGGGTCTTAGAGACAGGACGATCTCTAGGGCTTTCAGGCTGCTAGTTTAGCTCCAGGTTCAGATAGATATTGGTAGAGAAGAATATCAAGTATCCTCCTTTGACAGCTCAGGCACATGTACAAGCACATGCGCACTCACACACGCACACACACACCTACCTGGGTTTGGGCATGCTCGGATGTTCTTGTGCCCTGATTTCCAGGGTACCTTAGCACTGTCTAGGATACAGTTTGAATGCCAGCATGTTCTGTGATCTGTATGGTCCCTTCCAGCCTTCTCATTCTAGGATGTGGAAAGCTGTATTATTATATCCAAGGAACTCCTCAGAAGTTAGATGATAAAGCTCCTTTCATGGTTTTTGGAACAGCCAGGGTTCTCACTACAATGTTTCATTCCAGGACACCTACCAGAAAACCATCTACCCGGACAGTGAGAAGCAGAAAAGCAAGGGACCCCACCATCCGATCTTCTCTGAGTGTCACCACCAATCAGGAGTGGGTTTGTGACAAAATCATAGACCTTAGTCACATCACTGAATCACCTGTCATAAAGAACACTGCTGGTAGCAAAAACCAAAATTTAAAGTATTCTGTGACAACTTGCCAAAGTCCTCAGGCACCTTTGGACCACAAACAACCTGTTTCTGCTCCTTTGACGAAGGTTTTGTCTTGCCTTCATGTAACTGAAAGAGCAACTGATTTTGCAAATCCCTTTGCCTCTGGCTGTTCCAGGATGGCACTTGGAGGAGAGGAAGATGATAGTGGTGAGTCTGTAGGAATGATCTAGAAGAATTTTCCATTAAGTTGTATTTGAGAGAATAACATAACTTGATAATGATTCCTATGCCCTGCATCTCCTGCCACATATAAAATATAAGTTCTTTTCAAAATCTGGCTTCCTCTGAGCACCTGCTCCTCTGGCTGCCAGACAAGTGCAGTGGAGAGCAGAGAGCAGGTCTTTACAATCTGTCTTTCATCCTGTTTCCCAAACCAAAGGGCTATTGTTTGTCTCTTTAAGAAGTTATCAAGGTTGAGAAGATGGTTGTGGGGCAACCTTTAGACCCAGAACCCATGTCAAAAGCCAGGCGTAATATCAGCACTGGGGAGGCAGAGACAGGACCCCTGAGGTTTGCTGGACAGTGAGTGTAAGCTGAGTCAGTTCCAGATTCAGTGAGGCCCTTATTTTTTTTTAAAAAGCCAAGGAACCAATAGAAGACACTGGACAGCTAACCCTGGCCTCCACACTCACCAGGACAAAAGCATGCATACAGGCGCACTTGCAACACACACACACACACACACACACACACACACACACACACACACACACACACACACACACACACACACGCGCGTGCATGCATGCAATAACAAAATCAGCTACCCTGGCCAAAAACAGGATAGGCTCTTGAGGTGTTGATGTGGGGAGCATTTAGAGAAGAGCACCTACTCTACTAATCTTTTCTTTTTTCCCTGACTAGATGTATAAACCCTATGGAGCCTGGGGGATTGATCGTCTTCTTCCACTCTGTATTAAAACTCCCAAGGCCAAAATTGTCTCCTTCATACTTGAAACTGGCAAAGGAATTTACCATCAAAAAAGGAAGAAAGAGGAAAACAAAAAATCCCATCTAGTAGTCAACCTCAATACCTACTTAAGAATATATTACTATCACCTTGTTCTCTAGTGAGAGTTTTAAGTAAAGAGGTTTCTGTTTTCCTTGGGGAAAAAAATCTCTATTGTCTCTTTCTTGGGTTTCTATCAATAGGTATGTCAAGGAATTCCTCAAGGATCTTTTCATTAAATGATCATTTTCAGTCCCTCACAGAAATCCTATTAAAGCAGTGTCTCTATTCCAGGATCTATTTGACCTAAAATAGTTGATTCTGGTTCAAAGTGACACTTCTTCAACAACTAGAAGCAATCTGATCTTGTAGAAAGCATAACATTGTGTGAGGAACTCAGAGTGCTCACTATAGTTGTGTCTGATTGTTCCTAAGAGACACCAAAGTTTGTGGAACAGCACCGCTTTATTGCCTATATGTATGGATATTTTTTTAATTCAGGTCTCACCCCTGTCCAGTGCGGATACCTCCAAATGCCAGAACCAGAAAATGTAAGTTTAGTCCATCAATTTCTTTCATGATCTCATCATTGTTTCATCTTGAGGTACCTAGAACAGTTTATACACAAAATGTGCATTATTCTGTTGCAACAGTACAGAGTACGATTAATTCCCTTAAATATTGTGTACTTAAACCTTTTTTGCCTTGCCTCCCAGGCCTGTCCTTCAGTATACACTCAGGCTTGAGACATATAAGCAAAATGTGCTTGCTGTTTTTTTTTTTTTTTTTTGGTTTTTACGAGACAGGGTTTCTCTGTATTGTTTTGAAGGCTGTCGGTCCAGCCTAGCCTCGAACTCACAGAGATCTGCCTGCCTCTGCCTCCCGAGTGCTGGGATTAAAGGCATGCGCCACCACCGCCCAGCGTGCTCGCTCAAGTTTTTTAGGCACTTGTAACAAGTGAAGACAAGAGCAGTGCTATTCTTCAGGTCCGGTGCCAGATACATGGACATAAACTCGTGTGAATTTGCACATGTATCTGCACTCAGAGGTGATTCCATAAAACTAGAACACACATTGCTTGCTCTAACACCAACAAGCCTCATTGTTGATCACAAATGGTTTAAGATAGGCCAATGTTTCTTTAGCCAACAATCTTGCATTCCCAAAAAGAATAATTACATTTTCTGATGCTTGGTCCCTTTGCTACCTGTTATGTATTAGAGCGGGATGCCTCAGGTTTTAAAATCTATTTTTAGATACTGGTTCTTAAATGTAGACAGCAAAAGGCAATCATTCTAAAAGATGAGCTTTTGGTATTTTTCTATACAAATGTCATGTGCTAAAATACTTTCTCTTAAATATGTGCCATATGAAATAAATGTCTCAGAAAAAAAGCTTTGTTTTTGCTATAATAGAAATATACTGGTGGTGACATAAAATAAAGGTGATACCAAGTGTCAGGCGAACTATGAATGCAGGCCACTGGCAAGTCTAACAATCACATCTTCATCTATCCCTATTCATCTAGTTGGGAGATTTAGCAGAGTCCCAGGTTTAGAGCAAAAAAATGTATCTTCAAACTCTGGTCTTTTTATTTGTTTGCTTGCTTACTTTGGTTTCTTGAGACACGGTTTCTCTATGTGTAGACCCAGCTGTCCTGAACTCGCTCTGTAGACCAGGCTGGCCTCGAACTCACAGAGATAACTTCTCTCTGCCTCCCGAGTGCTGGGATTAAAAGTGTGTGTCACCAATGTCCAGCAGAACCCCGGTCTTCTTTATTCTTTACCACTTAAACTGTTATAGCTGAGGCCCATTGTTAAGGTAGCGTTTTTTGCTGATTTCTTTTTACTACAGGAAAAATATAATAATCATATATTAATTCCATCCTGTTATTTAGTTATTGAGTCTGGATCTTGCTGTGTTGCCCAGTTTGGTTGTGAGCTTATGAATTCAAGCTGCCTTCTGACTCAGCCTCCCATGTAGCTACAGGTTCGAGACACTTCACTCAGAAATCACCATTGTAGGGGGCTGGAGAGATGGCTCAGAGGTTAAGAGCACTGACTATTCTTCCAGAGGTCTTGAGTTCAATTCCCAGCAACCACATGGTGGCTCACAACCATCTACAATTCAATCTGGTGTATATGTAATAAATAAATAAATCTTTAAAAAAAAAGAAGTCACCATTTTAACCCAAGTATGCATTCATGAGGGTGTGTCACCATCCCCCCGTCTTGTTTCAAAACATTCTCTAGAAACCCATTCCCTTCACCCCTGGCCCTTTTAACCTTTAGATTTGGTATTTTCCTCTGATGCAACATTTTTTGCAACTGTTATGGGGGACATACATATGTTCATGTGTGTATAGGTGTGTGGTGGTATGCACATGTGTATATATACATGTGGAAGCCAGAGATCAGTCTTCTGTGTCATTCCTCAGGAGCCCTTCATTTTATTTTTTGAGACAGAGTCTCTCACTGAGACCTGAGGCTTACTGATTAGGCTAGTCTGGTGTAGCGAGTTCCAGGGATATGCTCATTCCACCTCCCTGGAAATGAAGTTCCAAGTATGACTCTAGCACATCCTAAGGTTTTAGGTGGGAGCTGGGGACCAAATTCAGGTCTTAAGCTTAAGCTTAAGAGGCTAACACTTTACCCAGCTATCTCCCCAAATTTTAACACTTTTTTTTTTTGGTTTTACGAGACAGGGTTTCTCTGTTTTGGAGGCTGTCGGTCCAGCCTGGCCTCGAACTCACAGAGATCCGCCTGCCTCTGCCTCCCGAGTGCTGGGATTAAAGGCGTGTGCCACCAACGCCCGGCTTCCCCCCCCCCCCCCCACTTTCTCTATAAATCTGAGGCCGTTTGTATGCTCTTATATATACATTTCTTCATTGCATCGCTGTGACTACCTATGTCCTGATTTGTGTGCATTATTTTTGGCTTCCATCATCATTATTTGAGCGTGGGAACATGTATGTTACAGTGTGTTTGTGGAGTCATTTCTCTCCTACCTTTACATTGTGTTCCAAGGACCAAAGTCACATTATCAGGTTTGCATAGCAAATGCTTTACCCAATGAATTATCTCACTGGCTCGAGAGTCTAATCTTTCTTTTCCTTTGGTTTATCGAGACAGGATTTCTCTATAGCTCTGGCTGTCCTGGAACTCACTCTGTAGACCAGGCTGGCCTCAAACACAAAGCGATTCATCTGCCTCCACCTCCCAAGTGCTGGGATTGAAGATGCATGTCACCACCACCTGACTCCAAGGTTCTACTCTTAAAATACGGTTTGTGCAGGCATCGTAGCGCAGTGCCTGTAATCCTAACACTCTGGGAGACTCACGCTAGATGACAGGAATGTCTACTGTCAATTCATTAATTCAATCTGTTAGTCATGCTTTTACCTCACTATTTTTGCTTTTAATAGACCTGGGCCTTTATTTATCCTTAGTCTTTGTGATCTGGTATTTATAAGGCTGTGGCCGTCATTCCCTGCTTAATATTCTAGAGCTTTAATTTTTTACATTATTTACAGTGTGGTTGGGGGTGGGTGTCTCGTAGGTCAGAGGGCAAATTATAGGAGTGAGGTCTACCACTCTGTGGGGTCTGCGATTCAAAACCAGGCCATCTGGCTTGGTGACAAATGTCCTTGTCTACCTGAGCTATTTCTTGCTAACATTATGGCATTTATATATATTTAAATCAGATTAATCTAGACATACTTCATTCCTGTTGGCACCAGGTCACATCAATCCACCTGTTGGAACCACTGTGTTCTGTTCACAGCTGCAAGGAGATAGACTTCATAAGACCACTTCCCATGTGTTAGTCTCTTCATACTGTCCTTTCTATTATTATGTCTTGTCCCCTAAGGAACACAGATTCTTCAGTGCAGCACACTTCCTATGCCCTTGTTACCATGGTCACATCATGTAGAATGATGCTTTTAACAGTCTCAGTGCCCAGAATCCCCCAAAGTACAGCATGGGCACTGCAGAGAAAGACTGGAACCCCAGCTGAGGGGCCTGCCCGTTTGCTGTGTGACTGCATGCTGCCTCTCCTCTGGACCTTCTTCCTTATCAACTGGCTGAAGGGACTGTTAGCACAATCCCTGGGCATTTGTGTCCCCAAAGGCCACTTACTCTGGATTCTGTGGCCAGAGCCACAGACATAAGATTATGTGTTGAGACATAATTTTAGGTAGTGCCATAAGTCAGTGCTGTGTCACTTTCAGAGACCTCCCCAATTAGTCAAAGCAGTGGCCAGGCCCTCCTTCCCGGCATTCCTATTTCTGCACGAGTCCTAGCCGCTCCTCTCCTTCCTACTTCCCTAGCTGCACTACAGCCATAGAAGCCTGGCATCAATGTACCAAGTGCCGGGTTCCAGGGAGGCTGCACTTGCAGTCCTCACGGCATGTCTGTGAGGTGTGTGTGGGTAGAAAGTGGTGGCGCTAGTGTCCAAATCCAAGTCTGTGTGGCTTGGATTAACCTCCACATGCTTCATGCGTTTGTAGTGGGACTTGTAAAATAGGTCGAAGACACCAAAGCATCTGGTGCTAATGCTGACTACATATTTACATAGTTCCAGTCACCCCACTAAGTTCTCCTGTGATCATATCATATGCATACAATTTGGAAATGAGCCATTCTACCTACTTTTAAGTGAGAACCAGCTTAGTTGTCACCAGGATTTGAACCCAGGCAACCTTGCTTGAGGCATCACCCTGTTAGCAGTAGATGGCTATGTTCTTATCCTGACAATGCCTCTCAACTGGCAGCATAGTAACCAGATATGTAACCCCATTCTCCTGAGCCCTGTCATGCAATAAACATGGTGGATGGCCTGATGAATTTCCTTATTAATGTGCCCATTTCTGTGACAATGCAGTGTTGTAATTGACATATTAGTAGTATATGCAAAATGGCCTCTCTCCAATGAGCTGTGTAGCTTTAGGCAAGCCTAATCTCTGAACTTGCATTTTTCTTACTTGGAAAATGGGCCCAGCATTGATTTGTTGAGGGGATTGCACCTGGTGTGACAGGTGTTTGCTTCTGAAGTTCAGTGTCAAGGGCAAACAGTTTCAGAGACACGTGCCTAGTGCCCCTGTTGCCTGGGTAAGGAAGGCAGTTTTTGTGGAGGGTGAGCATTCTTGCAGACTGTGGAACAAGTGACAGGTGGTTCTATGGCATTTCTTTAGCACAAGTCTGGACAGCAGCTAAGGTTTTCCAGGTCAAGTGCAGTAGAAGCACAGAACGGATAATAGAGCTGGAGCCGTGAGAGAATGGCTGCAGCGGAGCTCAGTGAAGACTCAAGGGAAGTAAAGGTAGGAAGGGACAGGGCTGGAGAAATAGCTTAACAGTTAAGAGCACTGGCTGTTCTTCAAGAAGACCTGGGTTCAATTCCCAGCACCCACATGACAGCTCACACCTGTCTGTAACCCGGAGATATGACACCCTCACACAGACATGCATGCAGGCAAAATACCAATGCAAATGAAATAAAATTATCTTAAAATAAAGAAGCGAGGAAGGGACTGAGAAAAACGAGAGTGGACACTGGGCCAGAGGCTCCAATAACTCACGCTGGGGAGGGGGCTGGGACTCTGGGAAGGGAAGGAGTGGTGGACAGAATTTCAACACTGAGAGCAGGACAAGCAGAGCTTGCAGACGTAGACCCATTGCCACTGCTGTTGCTGTTGGCCCCTTGGGCCCTTTTAAAATAACCTCTAGGTTAGGGGAGGGTGGATGCGTAAGATTAGGAGCTTCAGGTGTTCCAGCTACACAGAGGCACGGTATACCAGGCCAGCCTCTCCCTCGTTTTTCCAGCTCTCAACAAGAGACACAGGCCTAAAGCAAGAGGAGGATGCAGACAGAAAGGGCAGGTGGAGATACAAAGGCACATGGATTCCAGGCACTAGAGAGCCAAAGGGAAAGGAAGGAAGGAAGTGAGGGAAAACCAGGATTCCTTCAAGTGGCCTCCTTATCTGCATTCCCTCCCTGCCGATGCTGTTCTGCCCAAGGAAGAATCACCAGTTCTTGTCTTTCGTGGAATGTGGAAACCTAGGGAACACTTTGAGGCTGTTTTTTGTTTGAACTGGACCAGAGTGGTGCTACAGGCTTGTACAGTGCGTTGAACTGAGTATATCCTTGGGTTTCTGCGGAAGCAGCGTATTACAGTCACGTGCTTCCTTTGGGCAGAAGAAAGACAGGAGACTTGTTCTTTCTATGCAGCTTTATTTTTGGAAGGATACACTGAAACGTTAGATGGAAACAGCTAATGACAAAATGTGGAAATGAGGTGTTGGCATCTACAACCACTGCTACAGTAACATATGAGTATGTATTTTCATTACATGTTTACTTTGATATTGTCTCGTTATATATGTAATATCATAATGGAGAATACAGTTACGTAGGTATCCTGCGTTTCAGAGAAGCAGGAGGTAGAAAACCAGCTCTGCCTGTGAAGT